GGGGGGGGGAGGGGGATGGGATTAACAGTAGCAAATATCTGTCTGGGGATGGGAAAACACCTCTTATCAACAGGGTTCCTGAATGAAATGTAATTGTACACCTAAACCTTAACTGTACCCCACAAAACCATAATAAAAAATATTGATTAATAAAAAAAAAAATTGCTTCATAAAACTTACAAGGAAAGCCAAGGCTAGAGATAAAAAATATAGAAATCATCTGCACAAGAAAAACAATCTCAATCATAGATTTAGAATGTTTTCGGTGTTATCCAGGCCTAAGTAATCCACTGGGGCAAAATGGAGCTGAGGTTATTGGGGAACTTGAGGCCAAGGTGCTAAAAAGTCATAAACATCATTCTCATCCAATACAGTAAGAGAAAAATAAAGAACTATTGAAGCCAGATGCTGAAGTTATTAAGGAAAGCAAGCTAGTACCCTAGACTTAAAGAAAAAAGGTAACCTGGGCTTGGTGGCTCAGCCTGTAATCCCGTGCTTTGGGAGGTTGAGGTGAGTGGATTGCCTGAGCCCGTGGGTTCGAGACCCGCCTGGGCAACTTGGTGAGACTTCATCTCTACAATAAAAATCAAAAAATTAGCCAGGCATGGTAGCGCACGCCTGTAGTTCCAGCTACTTGGAAGGCTAAGGCGGAAGGATCACCGGAGCCCAGCAGGTCGAGGCTGTGTGGCCAAGAGCGGCCACTGCACTCCAGTCTGGGCAACAGAGTGAGACTCCAACTCAAAAAAAAAAAAAAAAGTTGAGGCGAAAATAAAATCATAGTACATTCACTAGAAAGGTGCGCACCTAGTTCAGTCTTCATCTCCATCTAAATGCTGAGCTACATCAGCGGAGTCATACCTTCCAATATTCTAGTCCAAGAGTTCTTTGATCTCCTCCATCAGGCTTGGAATTAAGGGATCTCAATGGTGTCCAAAACTTAATGACTCCAAATAAAAGAATATTTCTTTGCCTCACTTCCATTATTGCCCTGAAGGCTGATGTGATGTAAAAATACTCTAAATAGAAACTCTACATTTCCTTTTAAACCCAAGAAAGAATTTTAAAGAATCCTAAGTAGATAAGGATCAAGTGTTTCTAAGATGCACAAAGAACATACGAATAACAAAATTTAAAGTTAAAAACAATGTGTAGCACTTTTTCTCACCTTCTGATATAAATATGTGACCAACCATAATGCTTGAAAAATTATAAAGCTGAAGAAAGAACTTTATAACCAACTTAAGTGTCTTACCTCAGAAGCAGTAGCTGCAACATTCACACTGCTTGCCTGCCCGTTCATTAGGTCCATGCTTCCCTCATCAGTCCCTGACCCTATGTTAACAGCAACAGAAGACTGACCACTTCATGTCCAAGGCCACAAATACATTATTCCTAAAAAAAGATAAATTAAAAAGTTAAATTGTATGTTTTCTTCGATGTTTAAGACAACAAATCCATGCCTACCAAGAAATAAAATACTTCAACTTCACTAAGTTTTATTTTTTATTTTATCTAAGTCACTAGATTCAGATTGAGGACAATCCTATATGCTATTTTCAAACAATCAGAAACATCAAATGGGCAACATTCAGTAGATATTACTGTTATGTTTTTCATAAGCCAAGAAAAAGCCTAACTTTTCATCTAAATGACTACTGTGAGAAAAAAAAAATCAAACTGCATACTTTTTTAGTTTTAAGTAATTAAAATATGTGAAAAATGTGGCAAAGTAACATGTCAAATTTTACACAATAAATTTTTAGAGATCCAATTGACACCCCTGGATCAACAACACTGAATTAGCTTACCATGGCTAGTGTTCTAGTTTACCAAGATATCACAAATACTTAAATACTGTGGAACACTTGTCATAAAAACATAGCCATCCCTTGACATCTGCGGGAAACTGATTTCAGGACTTGCTATGGAAACCAAAATCCATGGATGCTCAACACCCTATATAATGGTGTAGTATTTGCATAACCTACATGCATTCTCCCTTATGCTTTAAAGCATCTCTAGATTATTATAATACCAAATACAGTGAAATGTTATGTAAACAGTTATACTGTATTGCTTAGGGAGTAATGACAAGAAGAATATGTCTGTACATGTTGAGTACAGGCACAATCCAACTTTTTTTCACTCAAAATATTTTCAATCCATGGACGCAGAACCCATGGATATAGAGGCTTGACTGTACAATAACATATGGTATCGTCAAAGTTTACTGAATATCTTCAATACATTATCATATTGATTTGCACAACTACCAGTAACATTAATTAGGGAAGATCTTATTATACTCATAGAACACAAACACAGAGTCTTAGAGGACACAGGCAAGTAAATGAGGAGCCAAGAACAAGAGTCAAGCCATCTACAGCCTAGGCAAAAATTCTTTCCACAACACCATATTTCTTTCCATTTTAGTGGAAGTCAGATTATTTACTTGAAGTTCCAGTATCTTTCCACAAATAACTTGACATATAACACTAAGTATGTAACTGCCTCTCTAGGATAGAATTTCTTCCTTTGTAAAATGACAGAGGTGAACAAAGTTTAAGATTCCTTTTCAACTTCAAATATCTATGATGTTTTCATAAGAGAAGTGGTAAGTGCCTACAAATTAGGTATTCCGCACTATCCTTACTTTGAAAACTGAATTTGAAATGTCAGTAACAATCGCTTCAGTGCTGTTTCCTTTCTCTAGAAAAGCAGTATAGGATAGTGATTTAAAAGCACAGATTCAAGAACTAGAATGCCTCTGTGTATACCTAGCAAATTTTAACTTGTCTATGTTCAGCTTCCTCATCTATAAAACAGGGATAAGTATCTACTTCAGAGAGTTATGGTGGAGAGCAATGAGTTAATATAGGCAAAACACCTCAAACAGTGCTGGCACATGGTAAGTGTGCTATTATTACGATGTAATAATCATGAAGACGCTGTACTATCTACTTACTCCACAAAAGGCTTACATTCAAAAGTAAGACAAAAACCTAAGAAATATACCTCAGGACCGGGCTCAGCGGCTCAGCCTGTAATCCCAGCACTTTGGGAGGCTGAGACAAGTGGATTGCTTCAGCCTGCAGGTTTGAGACCAGCCCGGGCAACTTGGCAAGACGTCACCTCTACAATTAATCAAAAATTAGCCAGGAGTAGTAGTGCATGGTGTAGTTCCGGCTACTTGGAAGGCTGAGGTGGAAGAATAGCTGGAGCCCAGCAGGTCGACACTGGGGTGGCCGTGAGTGTGCCACTGCACTCTAGCCTGGGTGATGGAGTAAGACTCCAACTCAAAAAAAATTATATATATATATATATATATATATATGTATACATACATACACTACACACACACACACACACACACACGCTCCCCCTCTGGCAAGTAACTGTTGAGGAGCATCACCAAAAATCCTAATTGCAAATGCTGTAAGAATGCCTAAAATCTGGTTCCTATTTGCAGCAAAACATGCTCTTTGTTTTTAAATGCTTAAAAATTATCACTAATGATAGCAGCCTTTAGTCACATCTTGAATATCTTCATTTCTTCAGATATAGCTTAAACACCTGCTAAGAGCAGAACACGATGTGCTAGAATTTTAAAAATAGAAATGTCAGAAATAATGAGGTTCTAAAAACCACTTAGAACCCATTTAGAAGATAAATGTGAAAATGAATAAACCACAAAAATACTTTAATTTCCTCCAATCTATACTATGTCATTCTATATGCTTCGTTATCTTTATAATTCTATTAAGTAGCAACATATATTTACACTGCTATACAAAATCAGCTTGCTAACCCAGATTCTCTCTGAAGGTAACACTTGGTTTGCAATCAAATACTTTCAAAGAATTTCATCTCACTACACATTCTACGCATAGGTTAACTACGACATGAATTCATAAATCAAGAGTGCCCCCTAGTGCTAAGGAAAAGATTTTAATTTAATAGTAGACGGTATTGTTTCCATAACCTAGTCTACATCCAAATATTAATTTTACTATTACTTAATAAAAAGGTTACCAAGACCAAGAATAACATTATTATATTTGTAAACCACAACCATAAAGAATCAACTTTTCTCTTCCTGCTTTGAAATAGTCACTCAAATATTCCATAAAAATTAGTTACATTAAAATCCATTCCATGTTAAATATACAGCAAAGCAAGTCTAAAAAAAAGTATTCATAACTATTTACAAGTGTACTACATGTCAATAGTATTAAATAATGTTGGAGCACAACAGAGACTATACTATACAAACACTATAAGTCCTACAGAGACACCAGTTTATTTCTTAGTACGCCTCAAAGACTGCAAAGCACACAAAGTTCAAATTAAAAACTCAAATATATGCTTTAATATTTTATTTACTTTCCCTGGTGTTATAAATGACACATCATTCATAATGATTACCAATATCACAAGTCATTTTCGTAATTAAATCCATTAGTTTCTATTTATTCTCATCTCAACTTCTAAAGGCAATTATTTTAGCTGTCTTTTGGGTTTAAATCCTGAAACAGAAATATTGCTTTTTTTCAAGCAATGTAATCCCCAAACAGGAAACTGGAAACGTGTAGATTTAGTTCCTTGCTTAAGTTCACAGAAATAGATTATCAAATTGCAGGCACAATTATTTAGCCTCCTAACTTCTCTCTTTCTCACTGGTATTCCCAACAAGAAACCAATGCTTTTCAAAATAAATGCACAAGGTGATGAAATAAAGTCAAAGTAACAATTTCTCACTAATTAATCTCATTTCACAGTATCTGTTGCATATTCTTTTCTAAATTTATAATATCATCATTAGGAATATTATGTTAAAGACATTTAATAGTTTTATAAAACAGACCCCAGAAGAAATAAGCAACTATAAAGAAAATGGTAGTAAAATGCAATTAATTAGTGCAATTTCTTTGGAAACATATGGACAGTACAGAATTGATATATTCATATAATTTTAGTCCTAAATCTCAGTCCTGGAAATTTAGCTTATAAAACTCTGGAGAGAAAGAAAAAACTATATACAGCTGTTCAATCCAACAGTGTTTATAATAATGAAAACTGGAAGCAACTTACATTTTAAAATTCACATGGACAATTACAAGTAAGAAACATGAAAACAACTGTGACAGGTTCAATAACAGCAATCCCAAACTTGTTACAATAGTCTTACAAAGTTTCATGGGAAATCAAATAGGATAAAATTAAAATACTGTAACCACAATTCAATATTTAAAAGTTATTACAGACTCTTCTTTAATATTTTAAAATAAAAATTAAAGATACATTTTATATGACATCCCAGGAGGTCCACAGATGTAAATGGCCCATGTGTCATATCATCAAGGCAAGCCCACTTCCAGCACGTGACAGCTAAAAATTATACTGCCTTCTTTGTTAAACTAAGAAAATGAAGATTAGCCCCAAATTCCTCAGAACTTTGTTTCTATAATTACAGTCATCAAAATAGTGAGGAACAAAAGAAAAGAAGATTCTGGCTTTGGACATAATTGATATTGTGATACTCAAACAAAAAAATTAATAAATGCAGCTGTCTCTTAAAACCACTTCCAGTATAGTACTAAACAAAGTTACCTTTGCTATTTGTCACTCTTAAAAAGTTCACATTATTAAGACAGATATTTTAAAAAACAGGGTTCTGAAGCACATCTGGTGTTATGAAATGTTCCCTGCCCAATGATTCCTACAGAGTTTCATCAAAAGACCATGTTTCATCTTTGCATTCAGGGACATATAGCATGATACTTAATCTCAATGATCTACTAAGTATCTGTTGAAAGAATGAGTGAATGACTGAACAAGCAATCAATCATAGGATAAGATTATATAAATGCCAGATTAACAATAAAAGTATAGGCAAAATGACAATTAAATAATCAATACATACATTACTACATAGACTTAAATATGAATAATTAAATTATACAAAATAAATTACTTAAATAAGAATATGAGGATTTCTACTTCCAGCAACATGGCTGACAAAACAATCTAAAAATTTTTGTGCAGCAAAAGAAATTTATTCTAAGTTTCCTATTCTAGAAACTTGAATTTTGATACCAGTGGAGAGAAAACAGAAGACCACCAAGAGATGAGAATGGAATTAAGACACACACACTCTCCTCTCTACTCCACCCCATACCTCCACCAAAAATAAAGCCAGAGAAATCAATAATCTACTCATCAGTGACAAGATGGTTGGGGGGTGGGGGGGTATATATCCTGGTAAGAAAAGGTAATGAAACTTGTCTGTCTAGGCCTGGGCTTATTGTTGAGGCTGGAAGAAAGTACCTAGCTCCCAAATTCAAAACCTTAGGTATGTTCCCATATAGATAAAGAATTTGAATTTATACTTC